GTGAGGGAAAGAAACTTCAGTCAGGTGCGGGCAGAAACGCCTGTCAATCAGCAGGACCCCCTGGCCAATCCTGAAGTTCAGCCAGCTCCCCCACACACACACCAACTCCAGCGGGACAAGAGACTCCCAAAACACCTTTTCCTGTCCCCAGCCCTTCCCTTCCTGCCTAAGCCCCATAAAAGTCCAGTCGGGTCAAGCTTCCATGCAGTTTCTCCTCAGACCCCTCTCCTGTCCACTCTGTGGGTCTGACCCAGTTCCTCCCGGGAGTGATATCTCAATAAAGCCTCCTTCAGCGGCCTTTAAAATCTGCCTTTGGTGGCTGCCCACCTCGCCTGATCTGACAGAAGGGCATTTCTTACTTCTCATGCCCCCTCTTTTTTGTTTTATTTATTTATTTTTTATTTTATTTTATTTATTTATTGTGTGTGTGTGTGTGTGCGTGTGTGTGTGCGTGTGTGTGTGTGTGTGCTGCTGGGGATGAAACCCAGGGCCTTGTGCCTGGGAGGTAGGCACTCTACCAGCTGAGCTATAGCCCCAGGGCCCTCTCCTTGGATCTAGCCGTGTGGCAAAAAGGCTGAAGGGGGCAATCTAGGGGTGCCTCTCCCCATTTTCCATTGTCTGTCCAGAAAAGCGTGAAGGGAGCCACCAGGGAATATCACTAAGGGTTTCCTGCAGGTGACCGTGGCCACAGGAGAGGGGGGGCATGTGTCCTGAAGGCAGTAGATCTCCATTCCCTTCTAATCTGCTTCCACCTTCCCAACCTGAACCCATCATCTCTCTACACCAACTACCTGCCCTTGTTCTCGCTTCATTCAGAGAATCTGTCTCCATCACTTTCTTAAGTGACACTTGCTTGCTGTGCTTGCCCTGTCTCTGGTCTGGTGTTCAGTCTTTGACTGTGGGGAACAAGGACCCCATCTCCACCAGACCTGCATCACTGTCCTGGGCCTCCTGTGTGGAAGCCTCTGATGAAGGTGGAGTCTGGGGAGACCCGAGCCCTGCCGTCCTCCTGCCCCGGGGTGCCTTCCAGGCCAGGGCATGTGGCTGGGCAGAGGGGCTCARTGCATTTGCCAGCTGCTTCCCAGCCCAGAGCCACATTCCCTTGTGTGCATCTCAGGTGTGGAGCTGGCCAYGGGGTGACCTTGGTCATGCAGGATGAGCCCAGTGCCCCTGCTCAGGGAGGTGAGGTCCATCTGTGGTCAGGGCTACAGCTCCAGGTCAGCCTGAAGGGTCAGGTGTTCCTGCTGCCTGCCCCTGAGGGGCCGAGTTGTGGCCTAGGCCCCTGTGCCGCTTCTGGCTGGAACCCTGACAGCCTTCGCCTCTCTGAGGGGAGACCCTGACAGCCAGGCCCTCTGCAGGCTGCCCCTGGGCTGTCCCTCAAGATGAAGTTGAAAGAGGTGGCAGCAGCTCAGCCTCCCGGGGGCCTTGGGCACGAGGTGAGGTGCAGAATGACCCCAAGGGCACCGAGGAGAGTAGTGAGAGGACTGCAACCGCTAGGTCCCCGTCTGATGGACGCTCACCYGGTGCCCTCTCCTGGTGTCCATCTCGGGTCCATCCCCACGGTGGCTGTGTGCACCCTGGGCTCATGACGTTGCTGGGATCAACGCCTCTGCTCTGGGCGCTCACCCAGTCTGGCCCAGGGAAGTTATTTCTGAGAATGAAGCGTCTCCTGAATCCCACACTCGATGGCCACTTCCAGGCAGCCCTCCTCAGGACCTGGGGCCCCGTCCACTCCTTCTCCTGTGGGCCATGGTGAGCTGCTAGGACTGTGCCAGGTCTGGGCTCCAGGTACCGTGGACCCTGTCTCCCCTCACACGCAGGCTGCCCAGGGCCTGCATCCAGCTCTGCCCCTGGGGAGGCCGCCCTGCCAGGGTCCTCAAGCTGCCCTGACTGGGCTAGAGAGAGGCCCCAACCCTCTGCACCTGCCCCTCACAGGGGCTGCCCCATCAAGAGGAGGCTGAGCTCTGCTTTCTCCATCATCTGGTCCCCAATGCAGCCTCTGCTGCCCCCGGGGTGAGCGGAGGGACAGGCGCTGGGAAGCAGCGCAGGACACAGGATCAGGACCAGCCTCCTGCTCCATCCTACTCCACTCCCCCCAAAAAACACCTGCAGTGTTGCTGGCCCACTGGGTGCTCTGGCCGCTAGTTCTGACACGGTCCTGCTGGTGGTAGCCAGTTCTGCCTCATGGTTCCTAGTGACTGTTGAACCTGTCTCCACCAACTCCAATCTTAAGCCAAATTAAAGCAACCTTATATTGTGTACACAAGAGAGCTGATCAGTGACCGCCTCACCCAGAGACCAGGCCAGAGGACAGCGTCTGGTCTAAGCACAGGAAGGTTTTTATAGCACAAAAATTTAAAAGTGGGGTGTCTTGGGAACTTACAGCTAACAGGGTTCTGGCAAGCCTGACACAAGAGTAGATAACAGGTTAATGATTCTACATGGCTTAACATTTCAAGGTAGGGAATTAACTCAGATTCCAACATCAGAATTTATAAGGAGCCGCTGAGGTTTCAGGGAGGGTTGTTATCTGGTCAAGGAGGGCCAGGCCTGGTTGAGTTCAGAGCACTGGCGGGAATTCCAAACAAGTTTAAACATCAGAGTATGGTCAGGCCAACTAAATATCTTAGTATTTTACAGTAAAACAGAAAGGAACTTTTCATGACCTTGTGACAAGATGGCTCCCCATCTTAAGATGGAATTAGGCTGGGTTCATCGGTGGCCAATATCCATCATTAGAGACTGAATAGAAAAGCTCACGACGTCCAGCTCCCACGCACCCAAGCCCGAGACCGCCCCACCTGGCACCCTGCTTCACCTGGGCTCCCTGTGGCGGGTCGGCAGCAGTCCACGCTCCTCCGCCAGAGCCTTGTCTCCTGCAGGACCTCCTGAAGGAGCGGAGGACAGATGGCCAGTGCCTGGACCCAGGAGGCTCTGTGCCTGGCTCCACCACAGGCAGGTACTCTCACCAGGGCCCTTCCTCCTGGCTGACCACACTGTGCCGACTCCTGCCCAGGGCCCAGGTCTGCTGGTTGTGGATGTGGTGTGGCTTCTGCCAACCTCTGTTGTTCCTGTTCCAGTCACACATTTGGGGAATGGAAAGTGCCTGCTGGGACGGTCCATGGCCTGGGGCCCATTGTGAGTGGACTTTAGATTTGGACACTGCTGACCCCTTGGTGCCACAGGGACAAGAAGCCATGTCGACACTCTGGGTGTCGAGACCCTCACCTGCTCCTGTGTGTCCACTGTGCCCAGCACCTCTGGAGTCCCCTGTCCTTGAGTCCATCGCCCAAGTGATGTCCACATGATCTGTGGGGAAGGACTCGGGTGTCAGAGTGTGTCCACAGCCATCGCATGTGTGGCCGCGTCTTTTGTCCTGGGGACTCTGCCCTCCCTGGTCGCGGGGCTGCGTCTGAAGCTGAGTGAAGGCTCAGGGTCTGACCCTGGGGGAGCATCGCCCTGGCTCCTACCTCCCACCCTTGCTCCTTGGCTGGTGGGGACTGGGCAGTGACCTCCTTCACTGGCCTGTTTCCCAAGAGGGACCCAGTCTTGGGGAACATTCTCAGAGCTCTCTGCCTGCCAAGGAGCACAGTGAGAAGACTGCTGTCCTCCTGGGCCTCCTGCTGGACAGAGGCAAGCTGGACAGAGGCCCTCCAGGGCTTCCCATCCCTGGCCTGGGTGAGTGGGGCACCTGGCCTTCCTGAAGCAGCTGTGACCTTCCCATCCTGGGACAACGGACGGACCCCTGCACCCCAGGGAGAGGGTACGGTCCCCTCCCAGGGTCCCAGGAGACTTGAAGTGCTGGTTGCCCCCAAATGAGGCAGAAGCCTTTGAGATGTGCCCCACTCTGTGGGAAAGAGGAATGCAGAGGCTGGAGACATAGCCTTGCTACATACTGGGCCCTCAGGTCCTGTCACGTGGCCCTGTTCCTGTCCCCTGGTGTGCAGGCTGCTGAGCACGGAAAGGGTGTGGGAGGGGCTGAGGCCCAGCCTGGTCCAGGGGTGCAGGGGAAGAAGCAGTCGACAATCCAGCTCCCACTGCAAGGGGGTCCAGGGCAAGGTTAGCCCAGGGATACCCCCAGGCCACCACCATTCAAGGCCCTGACACAAACCCAGGTCTCAGGTGAGACTAGGCAGAGGTTTGTTCTCCCCTGAAGGCCAAGGACCTGGGCTACTGCCCCCATCTCTGGGCTGTAGACTCCTGATTCCCATCCTCTGCAGCCTTCCTGGGCACCTGGAGCCCTGGGAAGTTTAGACCTCGTCAATCTGCCTGCAGCCACCAAATACAGGGAAAGCCAGATGCCACCTAGCACTGAGCACCCCCAGCCAGAAGTCAGGAACTTGCAGAACCTGGGACATGCATGCGACAGCAGAGGAGAGAGGTTCAGATCGTGCACCAGGCTGGGACTGCCAGCAGACCCCTCCCCAGGAGAGATCACAGCACACCCGCGTACGATGCACTTTATTGAATCCCACTGTGGATAGATGTGTGCGTGTAAATGCTTCAGAAAGCGAGGGGTGCAGGGGCAGGGCCTCAGCCCAGGGTGCACGGCCAGCTAGGGAGGGTTGGACATGGCAAGAAGGGAAACTTGACCTTGCCTCAAATACAGGAAACTCTTTCAAATGTTAGTGGTTTATTTTGGTGCTGGGGATTGAACCCAGGGCTGCCTGCATAGTCTGGCACCCTCCGCATTAAGCTACACCCCTCACCCCTGCCTTAACTCTTTTTTTTAATTAGTTATACATGGCAGCAGAATGCATTTCATGTCATTGCACAAAAATGGAGCACAACTTTTCATTCTCTGGCTGTACATGATGTAGAGTTGCACATTTTGTTTTAACCCTTACAGCACTTAACCCTTACAGTCTTTTTAAGTAAAGAATCATGGAGATGATGGTCAGAATGATGATGAAGATCAGGGCCCAGATGTTCAGGCACTTGGCAGTGGAGGCGAAGGCCTGGGCCCCAGTTATGTCACCCACCATCTTCCTGTCCCTAGACTGGGGAGACCAGATGGAGAGGGTCAGGGGAGAGGCAGGTGCTAGGCCCAGGCCCCAGGGTCCTCTCTGCCCCTTGCCTTTCACACCCTCAGACTGTGCAGCAGGCCCCAGTGCTGGCTGCTCACCCCAGCTTGGGAGACAGCCTGGGGTGCCACAGTCTGCAGTGTGCAGCGGGTACTTCTGCCATTGGGCATAGGGAGAAGTCCTCTGGGTTGGGGATGGGGACAAGAGTGACCCCAGATTCCCAGGCTGCTCCCTCCTGTGCCTGCCCTGGGAGATCCCTTAATGCCCCCACACTTACCCAGAAAGAGGAGGGCACACAGGGTCAATGCACACCAGCCTTAGGGGGTGATCCACAGCAGCTCCCCCAGCACACACAGACCCACACACCCCAGGTGCAGGTGGAGTGTCAGCCTCCTGGGTACTTTCCCCACCCCTGACCCCCCCCCCCACTGCCCAGCGCCCCCTCAGCACACACACCTTCACGGAGTAGGCGAACGCGATGAAGCCCAGGCAGCAGAAGTTCATGAAGAGCGTGTTGAACAGGGACCAGGTGACATAGTCAGGTGTGATGTCCTCCCGGCTAATAGAGATCACAGTGGACATCTGGGGAGACAAGCCTGGCTCCTGGTGCACCTTGTTCTGCATTGAGAAGTCTGATGTTGCTGAGGTCGGAGTCTGGGAAGCGCGATTCTGGTGGCCCACAGAAGCCCTTTTGTGGAGTGGGGCCCAGATGCTGGGGAGGGTCCTGGTAGGTCTGGCCCCTTCTCAGCAGCCTCCTCCCGTGGACCCTAAAGTTCTGCTTTCTCAGAGGTTCTGCTTCCTGGTGTTTGTACATTAGTTAATTGTCTGAGGGAAAAAGATGGGGAAAGAAATCAGTGATGATTTCACTAGGGCCAGGTGTCTGGAGAGGCCCGAGTTGGGGGTGGGGACAGTACTTCCTGCCCAGGAACCCAAATCAGAACCTGCTCAGCTGACCCCTCTGTGTTAAGGCTGTGGGTGACCCAGGTGCTCTCCGGGCCTGCAGGTCTCCACAGTCCAGGCCAACAGCAGCAGGAGTCCACCACCCCTGTTCTCCCCAGGTCCCTGAGGGTGTCCCCAAAGCCCACACTCACTGTCCTGGGCCCAGGTGCCTTCCAGGCCAGGGCACAGGCTCTGGAGCTCAGTGGATGAGAGGCGCTCCCCTGGGGGTCAGCGCATTTGCCAGCTGCCCCCAGCACAGAGCCATGGACCTGTGCCGGCCTGCCTCTCTTCCCCACCCTGGTCAGGTCTCCCAAGGCCTTGGCGTTGGAGGGAGTGTCGGAGCTGGGGTCTGGGACCACCACACAGCCAGTTCCTGGAGAGGGCGGTGCCCCCCTGGCCAGGGCTTCCTGGAATTTCAGCCTTTCCTCTTGCGGCTTCACACACACCCACAGGAAGATGGGGAAATCAGGGTGCAGGAAGCTGCCAGCGGCTGCCTTGACCCCCTGGCAAGGGTGGGTCCCTCACCACCCACACACCGCCATGGCCTCAGCACCCTCAGCTGGGGAGCCAGCCTCACCTGCGTCATGGTGGGGACAAACTGCATCTAAGCCAGGCAAGCCCCCCGGTGTCCACGGCCAGAAGGGACCGAAGAGGCCACACAGGGCCCCACAGCCCCTGGTGTGCACATGGGATGGTGGGCTCAGCAGGGTCCCAGGGGGAACCAGGGGCTGCCTCCACCCCGAGCCACCCGCACCGTAGAGGGCTGCAGAGCCCTGACTGTGACCCTGTGACCCTGCTCTGTGGCTGAATGCTAGGGTGTGCGCCAGGGACTTGTTCTTTATCCCAATGTCCCTGTGGAGAGGGGACGTGCCAGGTGCAGGAACCTTCACCTTCGCACCTTCCGGCAACTGGAGATCTCTTTGGTGGTTCCCTGAGGAGGACAGTGGGCCAGGATCCTGTGGCCAGCTGGTGAGTGTGGCGCTCACCCTGGCTGGTCACCTAGGCCTCGGCCCTCCTCTGGGAGATGGCAGGGTGGCTCTGCCACCCCCTGAAGGCCAGGCCTATTGGGATCTAGGTGGGGGGTGTTCTCCTGGTACCTCCTCTGGCTTCAGTGATGCCAGGATTCCTATCCAGGGGCCCTTGGCTGGGCCCCTGCAGGACATCACAGGCCCTCGCTGGGCACAGCAAGAAGGCACACAGATATGGGGTTGTGGTTCCCGGTGGCCTGGTCCTTCCCRGGAGGCCTCAGCCTTTGTCTCACACCCCTCCTGACTTCCCTGACAGAATCTTGGTGAGTTCAGAATGCCACACTCGCGAGTCCCTCTCCCCTAGCTTTCCACCTGCCGCTGTCTGCCGTACTGGAGCTGTGTGGTGGAGTGTGTGTCCTAACCCTTCCCTCTTGTGAGAGTCACCTGTGAAAATGCAAATCAGCTGGGCGCAGCGGCGCAGGCCTGTAAGTCCAGCGGCTAGGGAGGCAGAGTCGGGAGGATCTCAGTTCAAAGCCAGCCTCAGCAACAGCGAGGCACTAAGCAACTCAGTGAGACCCTGTCTCTAAACAAAATTCAAAGTAGGGCTGGGATGTGGCTCAGTGGTGGAGATCCCCTGAGTTCAATTCCTAGTACCAAAAAAAAAAAAAAAAAGCAAATCTATTTCCCAAACCAAGGCACGGTAGTGAAGCCAGATTTAAAGTTAGGTCGTCAGTGTCGTTAGGTAAATCAGGTCTAATACCGAGAGAAATCTAAAATGGAGGCCATGCTGGGAATGACTCAGGGAAAGCAGGACAACTCATGTAATGTTAATGAAGTCCCGAAAAGGCCCTAGGCCAAAGTCCACCTCAAAGAAGTGTTAATGAACAGCCCCCAACAGATTTGGAGATGGCCCATCTAGAGAAGTGATAAGCCCATCCCAAAAGTCCTTCCTGCCCTTTCGGCCCACCTGTGTCCCACCCCTCGGGCCCTCCCACCTACAGGCCATCACCAAACCTATAAAAAGGGGAGACAACCGCACTTCCACGGATTCCACCTCTTGGGTCCCCTTCTTCCTCCGGGAGAAGTCTTTTCTGCTGTCCTTTAATAAACTTCTAGTCTCTACTCTGACCTGGCCTCGGCGTGTGCTTTTCTGGTGTTATTCTTCAACATCGGGGAAGCAAGGACTCACCGGTCAACAGCGGTATCAGTAGGCTGCCTGTAAGGCCTGCACTTTCCCTGCGACACCTAAGCCAGGAGGACCCCACTCTGCTCTTCCAGGGGAGCACATGCTTGCCGTTCTTCACTTTCACCCCTAAGTATGGTGGAACCAAACCCCAGGTTCCTGCTAAGCCCAGCTGGAAGGTGGGAGCTTCCCCAACCAGGCAGGACAGGTTCCATCCTGGGAGTTCAACCCTCAGGCCACAGGCTGTGTGCCCCTGGCAGCCACGCCCCTTCCTCAGGGCTCCCTAGGCCCCTGCACCAACCTGGGCTCCTCGTGGTGTGATAGTTAGGCCAAAGCGACTCCGTTCTGTAAAACAACCAGGCCCAGTAGAAGGGTCATGACTGGGGCAAGATGTTCTTTTCCTTTTGCTATAGAATCCGTTAAGAACATGGAACTACCTAATGGGGCTCTGTTTCTGTAACGGGGGTGGCTAAGCACCCCACCACCAGACTGCACTCTCCCGCTTCTGTCACCTGGCTGGCTTGCATTGGCTGGACCCCCAAATGTCCCTTTTGAGGTTTTCAGGCGTATAAGGGGTGCCCTTGCAATTGTGCGGGGCTGATCAGGGGAACAGCTTTATGTTCTGGTCAGTCGCCACCAGTGTGCTTCAATAAAGGCTTGATTCAGTTATACATGAGTGGTCTGGAAGTCAGTTTATGAAACCCAGGGACGAAGCTTTAACTATAACAGTGGTCCAAAAGCCCTCTAAGTGACCCGTGACAATGCTCTCAACTCCAACCACTTAGGGAGCCAGAGGGTTCAGGGACACTGGAGTGACCAGGAAGAAGACCAAACATCCTTCCTGCCTTTGTTTTTCTTCCTTCCTTCCTTCCTTCCTTTCTTCCTTTCTCTTCCTTCCTTCCTTTCTTCCTCCCTCCCTCCCTCCCTCCCTCCCTCTCTCTCTCTCTCTCTCTCTCTCTCTCTCTCTCTTTCTTTCTTTCTTTCTTTCTTTCTTTCTTCTTTCTTTCTTCTTTTCCTTTCTTTCTTTCTGTCTCGTGGTCCTGGGGATGGAGCTCTGAGCCTCATGCATACTAGAAAGCCGTCTACCACTGGGATACACCCCAGTTTGTTGTTGTTCTGTCTGTTTGTTTAAGACCAGGCTTCACTATGCTGCCCAGACTGACCTTTAACTTGGAATCCTCCTGCCTCACTCAGCCTTCTGAGCCTTGGAATGACAGGCTCATACCTCACTGTGCCCAGCTCATGGGGGGAAATTTTTAAAAATAACTTTTATAAAAGGCTACATGTATCCATTTGTTCAACAAATACACATTGAGTTCTGTTAAAAGAGAAAAGTATAGGAATCTTAATTGACTTTATTTGTAGCTCTAGATTTGGGGAACAGTTTGGTCCAAAGAGGGTTCAGAAAGCCAGCCCAGCACGTGGAAAGTTTGCAGGAAGGGATGGAAAGAGCCCAAGTGAGCAGAGCAGCTGGCTGGTCTTATCTGGAAATGTTGTGAACAGGGGAGGCTCTGAGGGCCTGGAACTTGGCCGATGGTGACAAGAGCCCTGTGGGTATTGTGCTCACTGATCAGAGTGCACTTCCCTGCACACACAGGCAGCTCTGGGACCTGCTTAGTCCATTTAACGGTGCCTCCACTGTGCTTTGGGGGCTTAGAACACAGGACCCTGGAGTCTGGTGTCTGGGTGTGGCACGTCTTTGAGCCCAGCTCTGCTCAAGGTACCTGGCCCTCCTGCCTCCTGCCCTCCTCCCCTGAAGACAGACATTGAGACCAGTCCAGCCTCAGAAAGGTGGCCCTCTCCCTTCTCTCTTGAACAGCCTCCTTCCAGAGGGTCCTGCCCACACCAGAAGAGACCCAACAGATGGACCCTGCCAGTCCCTGCGTCCAGTTGCTTTTCTACACTGCCCATTCTTCTTGGAACCCGAGCACAGATGGGCAGTTTTTCTGGGGTCTCTGGAACTCATTCTGAAGAGTCCTGTGGTCAGTCAGACACTGATGAGGGCAGGGGAAAGATTGTGTGAGATAAGAAGGTCTACAAGGGACTTGGGGAGGGGGGCTGGCCACTCCTCATCTCCAGTCCTGGGGAGAGGGTCTGCAGGGCGACCCTGGCTGTGAAGTGAAGGAGGGGACTCATCCCAGCCTGCAGCCACAGCCTGCCCCCAGGAGTCAGGAACCTGAAAGCAACATGCTCGGGCCTCTGCAGCCCTGGGGGACACCTGGGTGGACACGGTGTCAGGCAGAGCCTTGGTTCAGTGCAGGTGTGTGCTTTGGACTTGTAGACTCTGTCCTAGAAGGGCTGGCTCTGACCCCTGGGGTGGGGAAGGAGGGGACCTTGAGGTGGGAATTTAGCCATAAAGCCACGGATGCTGGATCTCAGAGGAGATAAAGCCACCAAGTGTCTGCCACTCCTGAGCAGCATACCCTGGGCCACAACCCTAACCCTGGTCACACGCCAGGAGTGAGCCAGCCTGAGGGACTGGTGCCCAGCTGTGTGGCTCGCCTGGGGTGCCTCCAGCCCAGCCAGGCCCTGGCCCTCCCTGGGTGTTA